ATATTTTTACTATAATATATTTTTTTATTATTTTATTATTTTTTAGATAACGTTTTTAAAAGCATTATTGATAAATAAAGTAATTGTGAATAATTTATCAATAATTATAGCTTCGATATGAAGCTGTTTAATTATAATAAGCTAAGCTCTTTATACTTTGAACTGAACAAAAGGGCAATTTTCTAAAAATTTTTTACTGTTCAGTGTACAATGAAAGATGGTGAAAATGGTTGTGTAGTTGGATTTTTTTTGTTCTGATGGATAATTTTTTTTTGATTTTATTCACAAATATCTTATTATATAATAGAACATTGAAAAATTAGCCAATATTGAATAAATTACTTTACGATGTCTAATTTTTTAATTTTTTTTATGAAATAACTTGATAACGTTATTTCATGAAAATTTTTTGCAAAAACGAGAAAAATTTTTTTAGCATACTATAAGCGTTTAAATATGTTATCGAAAACGGTCATTGCTGCCAGCGTTTTTCGATTTAAAACCTAAAATTATTACCAGAATTACTTAGAGACATTCCAAAGATACCCTGAAAGTTTCGTTGAAATCTGTTGGCATTTTGAAATTTTATTTTAAGTCCACGTACATAGTATTTTGTAAGATATGATTTTGTTTTGCACATGTCAATTTTGTTTTAATTTTATATTGTTTTTACTTATAGCACGGCATTTAAAGAATATTTTTAATAATTATGAAGTTTTCTCTTACCTACCTGTTGTTTTGAATAATAATTAGTGGGTAATTATGAAATATAATAATATGTAATACACCTAGTATTTTGTAGATATATTATTATTTAGTTTATACGTGGGACTATTTTTCAGCTAAACTACTTTTCGAGTTATATTTTTTTAACAATCGCGTATCGTGCCCGACTACGCCGGGTACTTTTACTAAAATCAGTGGCCTACCCTTAAGGACAGCTTGAAGGACCTAATACGCTGTAGGCGGGTGAGGCCCGAAAGGTATCAAGTCTGTTTACCCCAGCTAGGTAAAGCCTAATGTAAAACATTATTGTTATTTAGTTTTGACCTAACTATTACACTCATAAATATTCTATAACTAATAGAATGCTTACATTAAAATTACATTATGGTAAAATAATTTTAATTATTTGGAAATATTATAATTGTTTTGATAATTAAGAGTTATTGGGTGAACAACTCTTAATAAACAAAAATAATAGTAATCTACTAAGATTTTTAGGAAACGCCGACAATAAACAATATTGATATCAATTTTCTTAATACGTTGTATTTTACGATAATGAAATATGTTTTTCTTTATTTTTTAGGGAATAAAGTGAATATAGAGATGTAGCGTTACGCTACAGCTTTAGCATTGTATGACAGTTGCAAGAAAGTCCGCTGGACAGCACTGTTCGACAACCTTTATTCAAAAGAATATAAATTAATGTATTTTTTTAATTTTTATTATATTTATCATAATGTTGGTAAATTATTTTATGTTACATATCAGTCTTAATGGGAAGTCGAAAATGAAATAGGGACTTAGAATACGCATTTTTTTCATTGGAGGGTATTAAAAAATAAATTATCAATGGGCGATCGTTCTACACTACTCAGGTGGTGACGGGTAGTATAAAGTACAGCGTCACTACTTGTACAATATCTCTAATAATTCTAAAAATTTTTTCTACTAGTTTATTTTCTATATGTGAATTAATAACTGCGTTTAACTAGTGATTGCAATATTAATTGCCGACTAGTTTTCATTCATTCGCCGTTCCATTGAGTAAGTTTCTATATTTTTCCTTACATCTTAATATTTATAATATACAATTTTCAACGGTGTTCGTAACTACGCGTTATCAACCGTGATCAAGATTACTAGCTTTTCCTAAATATTCCTTTTTTAATCCTTTGCTACGGTGCTCGTAATAACGCTATACCAACCGTGATTCAAAGGGTTAGATTCCACCACTTACATAATACAGTTCATCTTCAACGGTGATCATAACCTCCGCATTATCAACCGTGATCAAGATAACTGTCTTTTTGTAAAATTCCCCTTAATCTTTTGCAACGGTGTTCGTAACTATTCGTTACCAACCGTGATACAAAGGGTTATACTTCTACTTTCACCTTAAATTAAATAGTTCTTAAAGTAAGACTGATATGATAGTTAGCTGTTTAATATAGATTAGGGTGTCCCTTATTTATAAAATTTAAAAATTACAAAGTGCCACCCCCTAGAATTATTCGAATACATGAAAAAATAAATTTGGAGACGATTGGTCAACTTTAAGACGTGCCCCAAGAGGGTTAAAAAATACCCCCCCCCCAAGGGTGATTTTTTAGTTTTTTATGTCTATCTCAAACATTTTAGCTTTTGCGAAAAAGTTTATTTGACCTTTTTTGTAGGTATACAATTTTTCTATAAAAAGTGTATATACAAAAATTTTCGAAAAGTTCTTATTTAGCCCTAAAAAAATAAAAACGTATATGTTCTATTCTTACCGTTAAAACTGT